GCCTGGGTATGAAGGCAATTCGATCTGCACGCTGCTTATTGATACCATTGGCATTCCAATTTAGGACTGTTAAAGTAGATATTATTTGTTGGTAAGGCATAATTCAAATTTTTAAGACTAAACAATTCCTTGCAACCCATTTAGTTGCTATGATATGATGATATTAGGTTTAAGAGCGATTTTAGTATAATAATTAATTGTATATTGTTGCCATTGAAGGGATTGTTAAGATTTGCTGTTTGCGCTTAGTTACACAAAGGATGTCAGTAACTGGGGGTTGAAGAGGATGGTTTGGAATGATTTGTGGTTTTAGATTTATTTTTGTGTATGTGTTTTTATAGTAATCACAACCTTTACAGTAACCAGGTTTTTGCTCCTGACATATTGGGGAGGTGTTTTTTTTTGGGTTTGGTGCAATTTTTAGTGAGATTGTTGAGCTTATATTTTACACATCTGGGAGATAATGTATAGTAATTTTTTGTATGCATCTTTTTGTAGTAATTTTTGTATCGCCTTTACAACTTTTTTAATTGGCAGTTTCAATTAGGGTGTCCAATTCCCGGGACCAAAAATGTTTTCGGGATTCGGGACTAAATTCTAATTCCCGGTACTTGGACCAAAGGTCCCGAATTCCCGAAAATAGTCCCGAAATCAAAATACGTTTGCAAAAAAATATTTAAAAAACATTTAAAGACGTACTTTGGGTTTTTTACTTTAGTGTTACTGTAGGAGTTCACCAATTGAATAAAACAAATTTATATAGAATGAGAGAAACATAAAAAAAATTACAAAATAGGAAATTAAAAAAAAAAATTATTTTTTAAAATATGCTTTAAGTGCTACAAGTGCGTTTAAAGATTTATCTCCTAATACCGAGCGTATTTTCGTTGCAAAACAACCGGCAATAGAAAACGCCCTTTCCGATTGTACACTCGTGGGCGGTATGGTTAGCAAATACTCGTAGCATAGTTGAAGATTCTTGCCTCGACAACCGCCTTTCTCGAAAAGGGCCATTTCGTCTTTGATTATTGTAATTAATGAATTTTTTGTTGATGTTCCAATATGAGGTGGTGATATTGCTCTCATGCTGGTGGACGTAGACATTGCATTTTCAAATATCTTATTTAATTTTTCTGCTAATGACAGTTCATTACCTTGTTGATCGTTTTTAAGACAAGATAGCGGAATATCGTCTTCCTATATTTAAGCGGATTACAGAGATAGCTCAGTGCACTTGATGTTACTGTTCTTCGTTCATTTATTCGCTGCTTTAATTCAGATTGCAAGGCTCTGCTAAATGAAGTATTAATTTTTGAAAGTTCTTGAAACATAAACCTAAAGCTGGCATCAGTCGTGTAAAGATTGGCATCATGTCTACATACCGCCAACACAGTAAGTTTAATAGTTTCAAGACACTTTACAACTCCCTGTAGAACTTCAAAGTCATGGTCAGTCAGATTCATCGGCATGGATACATCAATCATAGCCTTCTGAATACAGTCCTTTAGAAAAACAAACCGTTCTAACATTTGAGCTAAGCTGTTCCATCGTGTTTTGCAATCTAAAATAAGTTTTAACTCCTTGCAATGTTTCCCTTTTACATAGTTCTGCAGAACACTGTTTTTTAAAGGAGAGCGACGAAATAATTTGACAATCTTCCGTACTTCGGTTACCAGTTTGTGAATGTTCCCGTAATTATTTAAATGAAAGCATATTTGGTCATCGTCTTCAATTAACTCAAAACCACCGTCTTCATTATTGTCACTATTATAGTCGTTCTCGCTACTACTCGTGTTGCCATCAGTTTCAGTGTTTCGGTTTGATAATTTTTGTTCATTTTTAGAATAAATGACGGCAATCACTGCAAGTTGAATACCATGAGCAAAGCATAATTGCTGCAGTGGTTGTATTAATTTTCCTACTTTCACCATTACACTGGCTCCATCTGTTGTGATGGAAACAATGTCATCTTTTAAGCTTAACTTAAATCGCTCGAGTTTTTTTTCAATAAGATTAATACATTTCTCTGCAGGCAAAGATCCTTTGATAGGTACTAATCCTATATTCCATATTTTAAGACTTTGTCTTAATTGTCCATCCAAGTATCCGTGAATATTTATAATATTTATATATCGTTTGTTGGCTATGGACGTCCATTCATCTAATGTTAAGCTGAAACGACGACCTTTTTCTCGTAGACATTGTACTTCATCGGTGAAATTGTCAAATACCTTTTCGCAGTACATTAAAATTCTATTTTGAATTGTTGATGTAGAAGTTGATAAATTCTGAAATCCCCTTGCCTCTAAACCTTTTCTTAAATCTTTAGATGTAATAATAACTCTAAATGGAAGTCCATCTAATGCTGCCATTCGAGCGATAACTGCATCTAAAGAATTACCTTCTTCATTGGAATTAATAAGGAAATAATCAGCCAGTTTTCTCTTTTTTTGCATCATTTGAGAAAATTGGGAAGACGAAGTAGAAGATAAACTAGACTGTAGTTCGTTTTCCTCTTCGTTGTTATCAACAATTGCGACTTCAACAGCCAAATTTTTTTCTAGCGCTGCCGATAACGGACGCGTTGATTGTGGAACCACCCCTTTCTTTTTATGCACTCCAGCGAAATGCTTGTGTAATCCTTTTGTTGAGCCGCCTTTACACATAATAATTTTGTTAGGACAAATCTTACATTTCGCCGCTTGTTTATCTGTTGATATATAAAAATGTCGCCATATTGACATTGGATCAGCGTTTTTTTTTGGGTGTACCGTATAAATTACGGACTCAGAACTCATTTTTTAAATTAAAACAGCTTATATGACAGCTTATACCTAAAAAAATTTCATCACAATGAATGAAAAGCTTTTATTTATAATACTTTCAAATTACCTGTATTTTTGTTTAATTTTGCTTTGTTAATTTATCTCAATTTATTTGACGCGCACACAAATCCTCCAGAGCACAGGTTAGCCACAACTCACAGTGTCACACGACTATACCTATTAATTGGAGCACCGCCGGTATATAACACCGATTCTACAAATATTGCAAGGCATAACTCGTTTTAGCCGGTGATTCCCCTATCAATTTAGGTTTTTTACGAACTCGGAGAACCGTTTCGTTAGATCACCCGTTAGCTAGTCGGAGTCTCGAGGTCGATATTTTTAACAGGTTGTAACCTGTTAGTTGTAGTCGTTCCGATATTTTAATTTTTTTCTTAATTTCGGGACTTTTAAAATCCCGGGACTTCTTAGTGGTCCCGGACCTACATTTTTTTCAAGAAATCCCGGGACGGAACCGGGCCTATATACCGGGACTGGACACCCTAGTTTCAATCGATTTAGTTCATCTTCTATAACTACTGAAATTAATTTGTCATTTGGATCTTTGTGTGTATGGTATTCGACTTCATTGCCATTATAGAATTGAGAGAGTTTCTTTAATAATTAAGATTAGTTAAATTGATTTTTAATGAATTATACGTATAATTAATTATAGCGTTTGTATTAAATTTGCTGATATTCAAAGTTTTTCAGTCTACTACTATTTCATTATATTTTTTTTGTAGCTAGGTGATAAATTGGTGGTTTTTGTTCGAAATCTTGTAGCGGAAAATATCTATTGGAAGTAGATGATTGACTTGGGTTCCAATTGTATTTCTTTTTGAGTCTCTTCTACTGGGGGAGATAAGTCATCAGCTTTCCTTTTGGTGGCTAACGACGTTCTTGTTTAATTGTTTTCCTTTTGTGAAACTAAGTGTATAGCTTTGTATTGTATCTTTGCATTCCCCCCTTATTTTAATAATTCTAGTTTTAATTGTTCAAAATAACTAATACTTTTCGGGTAATAAGTGCATTTTGTTTTTAAAATTTTGTGTAAAATTTTCAATAAAGATATCGGGCCTCTTGAAAATGTTCAATTATGTACGAATTTAGATTATTTAGTTAGCTATTTATTGATCAATATTATTCCTAATCAATAAATAAGTTACTTATTAAATCGGATACCTATTTATTTATAAACCTACAAATAATGATCGTAATATAAAAAAAGGTCAAGTTCAAACAGCAAATTTCTCTAGATACAAGATAGAATAGAATCTTCGAAACTTGAAAACAAAGAGTTTTTTATATCTGAGATCAGATCCTTTTTAGTATGTGTTAGATAGCAAATAAATGTGAACGTCTCGGCAATGCGAAATTCATAAATGACTTTTAATCTACTTTCAATCTTATTGTTAGTTGATAATTAGATGTCATGTAGCGTAGGGGCACAAATATTATAGTTTATTAAATTTGTTTAATTTTTCATTTTCTATTTTTATTCCTTTGTATTATTTTCTTTCCAGTTAATCATTTTCTACATTACATTACTAATATGAAATTGACAGAGTGATAAATTACTATAATCAGTGAATATATAATTATCCCTCATCATGTGTTAAACCAAATAATAAGCATCGAAATATGGAAATCTCTATGCTTCGCATATAATGGTTGGTGCGATAATGCGCTTAAATAAATTTAGAGAGGGCGGTTTCCCCAATAGTATTTGAACCTAATGCTTGGAAAATATATGCGTTCCGAAATTTCGGGTATTTGTTAACTCGATGGGTGGAGAGATTCTATTATATTGAGCTTGTATGCAATTCCCATTGAATTATCTCCGATTGAATCCGAACATTTCATTATGTAAATTTTATGTACGCGTTAATTAAATAAAAAGTTTGTTTTGTTCTGCTTATTATTAACCTTCTAGTTTTTGGTAAAAATCAAATAATAATCAAAATAAGGTTGCGCACACGTTATAAGGTCACTGTTACCAGTAGTATTGTAACCACAAACTATTTATTATTGTTAATTTGGTCAAATTACTTCCTTCGTGGTAATCTTATCAACACGCATTGTATATTTTGATAAGTGATAACCGAAAGAAACCTAGAAAATGATTTATAAATAAACACACCAACAAAAAAATTATTAGTCGTTTGTAAACAACCCGTACTTTGTGTTCCTGTTTTTTTTTATCTACAAATGGTGCTGAAATCAAGTCATAAAAGCATAAATGCTCAAAGCGACGGCAATTCACCCACATCTATAAACATGGAAAATATTGAATTGTCAAATTTGGAACAAAAAGGTTTGTGTTTTTTTCTTTGTCGAAAAAATTTAATTAAAATAAAGCATTTGTTGGAACGTTCAATCAATAGGAACAATAATTGATATTGTTGTATGGATAACACTAAAATATATCTCGGATAGTAACACATAAAGCCGACGAGGAAAGCGCCGAAGCTTGTTACAAAATGTAATTAATTATTGAAAAAAATGTTTTTGGCCAAATACCTAGTACAAATTGAGGGAGGTCGATCGAAAAAGCGGAGACCAAAAATAAAATGCAAAACGAACGTTTTTTCGCTAACATCGCGGTTGAAATTTCAATTAAAAAGCGAAATGAAAAACCGTCGCATTCCGGTGTAAATTAAAACGGTCCGTAATAACGAACAACAACATTTTTATTTCAAACAAAAATAGTTGCGATGTTAAATTAATTCGTTTCCTTTAGTAAACACAAATAGTTTTCTATAAATAATATATAGGCGACATACATAAAGTTTTCAGTTCATAAATTTTGCAAAAAAAAAAACTTTCTTTTTTAACTACGTTTCGCTCTCAACAACTCGGGAGTGTACTATCAAGTTACTTGTCAAGTGAAATATTACCTAGGAAACTCTCTAAATTGCCCTTTAAATATTTTAAACTCTTTCCAAGGAAGATAGGAACAGTGAGGTAACTACTGCTATAAAAAATGGGTGGTACAACGTAGAAAGATATTGAAGATTTTCAATAATTATTAGATATTTAAATAAATCGACTTTAGGTTTAAACACTCAGATGATTATTTATGATTGTTAGTAAAAAAATTATTATAATTTTGTTTATATAATTAGTAATAACCAGAATTACATTCTGATACAAGATTGCTTTTAACATGCTTCCTAAGATGTTAAGAACAAATATTAAAATATTTACCTACAATTCTCCACTTTAAAGTTACAAATGTATTTAATATATCCTTCTATGTGATCCTTGAATCCGTATCAGGCTAATTGAGACTTGTTGAGAGTTCACATTCCATTTATATTACTGTTTCGTCACGATATTTTGCTTATTTGTTTCAGTTAAGATAGGTTGCTTGTCTATGTGTTAGCTGTTTTTAAACATTATGAGGTAGAGTTTGGTTATTACCGCCGATACGATTTTCTTTGTTTTTTTTTCAATGTACTTTACTATTCCATCAAAGATTTTCTAGAGATATCTACACTCCCAGATATTTATATCAATTTCAATTTCTGTATCATTTATACAGATTTCGTCTGGGCCAGATTTTTGGTTTGTAACAACACTACTTTCTGATTGTGTGATGTGATGTTTTTACAGTCGACAAGCTGAAATGTATATATTGGATAAAATGTGACCTAGAATCGAGTCAAAGCAGTGTTTTACTTTTGACCCATGTAATGTTGCGCTATTTATTTTTGAGGAAAATTAGGTTTTCTAAGAAAACTTTTGAAAGTTTGAAACAATTTTGATAAGTTTTAGTAGGTTTACTTTTAACTATATATTTATGAAACGATTTTTGTATGTGTAGGAAAACGATACTCATATGGACAAGTAAACTTTGCGAATTATTTATTCTGTCATCCTGATACGTTGTTATTCCTTGGAGTTTCAAGTTTTGAATCCAAATTGGTCCATTCCTTGGAAAGAGCACCTTTAAATCTACTGTATGTTTTCGTATAAGTGTTTATTGGCGATCAAAGGTTGATTGGCCAGTAGCAAGCTAGTTTGATTGTATTTCACGTTGCAGTTATATTGTATTCTTTCATTTCCTGGTCCTTTTTCTTCATCAAATTTATTTGTTTACCTATTCGACGACGATTTTCATGTAGTCTTGAAAACATTCATTGGTTCCCTTCATTGTTGTGGGATTTGGCTTAAATTATACTTTAGGAGAATTTTTTCATAGTTTGATTTCTTTGTCATTAGCATGTTTATAAGATGTATATGTGTGGGTTTTACAGTACCTTTTCTTTTTAAGCAAATTGAGTTAATTCTTCTTCTCGTTTATTTTCGACTCTACTATTCAAACCGAAATGTCTGTAGATTAATATACCTTAAAATTAATTTATCAGAAAGTAATATTTATAATGTACAATACAATGCACACTTTTATTCTTTTTAAGATCTTGCAAGAAGGACCTTCTTGTCCAAAAGAATTAAAATCGAGTTTAAAGATTAATTATGGATCTTTATGAAAGGGGTTTAGCGATGTAGATAGACTGTAATATTAGATTTTCAAAGCAGCTTTGGCGCTCGTTCAGTTTCGTGCGGAGTGTTTGCTTAGAAACTCTTAACAAATTTAATTACCAGTTATTTTTATTTCCTTTGTTTAAAGCTTTGTTGGCAGGCTTGGACACGGAAACTTCGATTTTGACCGAATGTATTACATCCTACATCTACGTATATAACGCACAATATTAAATTAATGACGACATTGCTCAATTTCCTTTTAATCAGTCAATAATAATATTAAATGGCTAATACTCATAATATCTTGTCAAATTCGGTGACTGATTTTTCAGGTACAAAGTGAAATGCTAATTTTGTCTTACTACTGAAATTGATTGATGATGATTACGTTTCTCCCAGTTGGTTTGTTTGAATACCATAAAGAGTTTTATATGATTTATCTTATCATATATACCCAAGGATCTTTTCTTCGTGCTTTTTCTGTTGAAGAGTAGTATTTCAGTTTTTTGAGTATACAATTCAACCCTCCATCGCTTGCAGTACCTATTCAGCGTTTGAAGTGCTGCTTTATTTCTGGCTCAAAACTTTCCTTTAGATCGGCCACTTTTTCCGTATAATTTACAGATTAATAGCCTTCTGTTTTGGTTTTCGCCATCGTAGCCGGGATATAGTGTACAAATGTATTATAGTATAGTACACGGGAAATCAGAGATCCATGGTGCAGACCTTTTTCATTCCAGATTGACCTCGATCTTCTTGCCAGACGGAATCGTAAGCCTACCGAAATCTAATAGCACCGCAATCACCAGATGTCTTTTGAGACATCTTAAGACATCATATGTAAGCAACTAAGGTAACTATTAACTGGTTATCCTTCATCTTTACACACAAAAAATAAGTTATCGATCAAATTATTGAATTAAGATAATATTTTGTGCTGAACCGTTTGAGTCCCAAGCAGCGCGATTGCAAAGTTCACATTTCCCCGTGGGACTCAAACGGTTAAACACATCCGTATGGGATCTCAATAGCAAAACTTAGCAAGGTACCTTCCAATTCTTCCCATAATTCTCTTAAAGTAGTAACTTTAAACTTGTTTCGTAAACTGAGTGATTCATTTCCTTAATATAGCCCTTACGACATTTGATCTGATAGATTCAATTGAATATTCTTCTTTCAAGAATAGTTTTTTTTCTTATAGGATGCTTGCCTGAGTTGACGAACGTAAATTTCGACAGATGCCTAATTGAAAATTTGATGTATGCAAAATCAGGAGATGATTTTCATCTACTATTGCAGGATGCTATGCATCAAATCATTACCTCATTTTTCAATATTTTACTTCTAAAACCTCTTTGGAAATGTCTAATTGTTTTTGCCATTAGAGTGCAAAGAAGGTTCTTCACAACATCGTCAAATTTAACCTTGCTTAAAAGATATAAATATGTAAGGTTTTTATTTGATGTGGAAAATTTGTAGCCAGTTCCTTACCTAGTACTAACCCCATCCAGAAAAGTAAGTTTTTTCTGTATCTGTAAGTATCCACTTATAGATACATTCGTGTTTTCTTTTCACTCTGGAACTAACATTTTGTTCTACGTAACTATTTGCTTCACTTACGATATACATGATTTTTTAACCAAAAAATAAGAAAAACGCCTTACGGGCTATTATCTGTCACAAAATCGTTTTAAAATCCGACGAAAGTAGCTAGTTAGCCGAGTATATGGACGATCCGTAACCTTCATTTTCTTCTGATTACAAATTTAAACAAATTTCATTCATGTATTTCTCATTCAAATCAAAACAGTTTGATTGCTTATCAAAATACTTTTTGAAATTCATACTGGGTTAGACAAAATACACAACACTAATTATTATTTATTAATAATAATATTATTTATTTGTGTGTTGTTTGAATAACTAGGTGCTTTAGGAGAACTTTCAGGTTCTTGATCAAGAAGTTAGTCTTTCAAAAAGTGACTCTCATTTGACATATTTTCTCCGTTTTCTGAGTAATAATTCTGAAAAGTCCTCCATTCATCAACAAAATTACGACTGTTTTTAAGGAGGTATTGACTTATATTTTAATATTACAATATCCTCCAGTCTTTATAACGTGAAATAAATGCTAACTAAATGTTGTCAGGAGAATGTTTCACAATTCTAAATATCCGGTTCGGAAGTTTTTCTAGCCTTTATGATTCACCCTGTTGTAAGTTAGTAAATATACCATTAAAACAGAAAACACCCATCGTCGAGAAAATCCGCTTTATTTCAAAAAATAATTGTCTCCGTCCATTTAGTTGGCGTTATAAATTTATGATTGTATAAGTGAAAAAAACTTGAGTGAAGGGATTTAAAAATGGTTTATACAGAGGCCATTAAACTCAATCAATTTTTTATGTTATACACTCGACTGGAGTTAAGCACTTATTATTATTCCATCGGGAGCTCAGTTAATTACGTTCTAGAGATGGGACAGAAACTCATCGTTTGAATTTCGCGTTTCTATTGGGTAGAACGCAATGAATGGAACCGAACGACGGACCCTGTATTAACGAAGACATCATGGCCGGAAGTGCATTTACATTTCCGTCGAAGACGTATTGTTATGGTTGTTAAACGTCCTGCGAATTTCGTACTTGTCATCACCAACTCTCCTATTCCTATCAACACCAGCTGTTGTAGTAGATAATATTGTATTTCATTGAAATATTAAACAGTAATAGAACTTGAATTCAACCTTACTCCTACTGTGTATAGTATAAGGTTGTTGTCAAAAATGATGATTAATCTGAATTAAGTGTGTCAAATATTTAATTAAATATCCCTTCTTAGTGTTCAGAATACGAATGAGTTTTACGATCAATTCTCATTTTGTATTCGAATGGCGAATAATTTAATTGATTTATTCGTGAATTTAATAGGATTAACATTTATGTCGAAAAGCGGATTACATAATTATGGAAATAATTTTGTTCGATTATTCCCTAAAATGACGAAAGTATTTTGTATTTATATATTTACACATATATGTGAATAAATGTCCACATCAATTATCGAAAATTTATGCTAATTATTTTTTTAGATGATAGAGATGTTCCAGATGGTCCTATTTGTGAAGATGAAGAAGAAATTTTACAGGAAGAACATTTTATTGATGTTGAAATAGATGATAAGGTATCTAAAAAGATGTCTAATACTTATGCTGCAAAGAAAACAGTCGCACAAGGTAAAAATTCTTTTATAAATTATATAGATAATAACACAAATATAATTAAAATAAATAAAATTCAACATATTTGGGGTTCAAAAATACCTGCTGTCATGAAATAATACGGTGTACCGAATTTTAACATCAACGACCTCGATGGTTAATTTAAATTTTGGTGGTGCACAGAGAGGGTCCAGGGTTATCTGTCGAAAATATGACCGAGTCCCCCTCAAAAAGTCCATCACGCACAAAGGGCAATGGAATTACTGGGTGCCGCAGGCGTTAGGACGTAAAGTTGATAATTGGGTTTCGTGCCCTGCGCTAAAAATCGAATTACCGGCCGGAAAGTGCGCTTCGAACGAGACGACATTGTCCGCCTGTGTCGACAAATTGGTAATTACGTGTGTGGGTTAAAATTCACATGTCCCAATTGCCACCAACACCCCCTCAGTATGTAGACACGTCCAACCTAACTTCACCACATTAACCCAACTCAGTGCATCGTCACGTCAGTTTGGACCATACATTGTGAAACTCGATGCTGGTTATTTACTTAGGTTTGGATGCAAACACGTTATAAACATGTCATGTTTATGACCAGAGAACTAACGTTAAAATCAACTTTAAGTAAATTTTATAAAGAACTTATTTAAGAATAAAATTATGTGAAGAAATTTGCTCGTTTTACAGAACTGTGAAACGTGATAAGCACATCCTTGTGAACAGGATATAAAAAATGTAAGATAAGCCAATTTACTATAAATTAAAATATCAAACGAAATCTAAAAAGTATTAAACGCAAAATATTAAATGCGATGTGTTAAAAAGTGTATTAAAATATAAAGAAAGGATTATAAGGTGAAAACGTATTAACGTTATGATCAAAAGTATGTGTTAAGTCACTGTTTGTGTTACTAAAATAATCTCAATGAATTATCCGCTGTTCTAGATCTATCCGTTCCCAATGTGTGTCCCACATTGTCGGGTATTTTTCTGATGTTAAATTTCAATGTCTTCTATTGAAACCGCATCTCGATACTACACAACAAAAATTTTCAGAAAATCGGCTACCTTTGGCCGGTGGTATTACTTAATTTGCCTACAATTCATTACATTTTCTATTTCGGTAAATTCTCTGGTGTGAATCTCCGGTATAGTTCGTCGTATATCATAAAAAGGTATGTTATAACAAGCAGGCTGCACCGTATGAACAGATAGTTTTAATAGAACTAAAGTTTTATCAGTTTAACCGTTATTACGACCTCAAAAGGGTTTCATTATGTTACATTAAAACGGCAAGTAATATAAACGGCGATAAGGCTGCTAAACGTGTTGTCAATATAAACGAATCAAATAGTCGTCGTTGGAGAAAACACCGCAATATTTATTGATAATTTTGTGCAAAGCAATGAGAGTTTCACTGATTCTAAACGAGGGACTTTTCTCAAATCGATGATGCTGAGATTTTCTTTGTGAAACAAAATCGTGTAAAAGGAGTACCAATAATCAGGCAGATGATGCAATTAAAGGGCTTTGATATTGTCAAAGTCATCGATGTGGAAAATTTAAAAGAAGCGGAAATTGGTGAAGGAGGTTAATGCTTCACGATAACGTTATAACGTCGTACATCAATATATCAGACACTTCCGATAGATATTGAGCAAATATTATTTTCAAAAATACGTAATTCAGCTTAGAAAGAAAAAAGCTATGAATTCAGTTAAATTGGTATGCCTCGTAATTACACAGTTAGTGAGAAGGGTTAAAAAGAAGGAAAACTGGTAAAAACTATCGTTTAATACATAAGCCACCTAGTTATTTATTTAGTAAGTTTTGGGCACCCAAAAAGTCTAAATCTCACTCGATATAAACCTTTTCGTTATTATTTCCGCTGATATGTATCACCTGTGTGATACACAAGCGTGAGTATTTTGTAAAGTATTTATAAGGTCTCTTTTTGACCTATGCGAAGTTAGCCCAAATTTTTCTAGACCCCAATTAGACAGGATTTTACATGTATAGTATATTGATTATAACAAGAGAATCACTGAACCGATTTTGATAAACAATGTCTCATTCGAAAGCTGAATCCTTAGCTACTACGAAAGTGGAAATGCCCGATTCGAAATATCTTTCGAATTTCGCTAAAACGCCAAAATATTGCGAAGATACACGAAAATAACACAAAAACGAGTACTACCTTCTTTAAGTAGTCATAACTCGTAAACGATGTACTCGATTATCAAGATCTATACGTTATTCGATTCGTCATAGTATCTTCTATTGAAATCACAAAAAGCCCGATCTCGATTCTTTCCCGTTAATCTTGTACAGCCGTCGAAGAATAACACCGTGTTCGGCTCGTTGTTTACGCACTTACCGAAAGTCTAGCCCCAAATAATAAAAAATTAATTTGAATTAAATTGATTATAACTAGAGAACGGCTTGACAGGTTTTAATGTTTTGTATCTCAATTGAAAGCTTGCGCTTGGCTAAATGTAGTTGTTGAAATGACCAATTCGACATATTTAAGGATTTTGATTAAAACACAAAAACTAACTAATCAAACACATCAATTATACTTAATTATTTGATCAAATTTAGTTATCAACCTCTCGATCGAAAGTATGATCCACAATTAATGCGAAGGCGGAAATGCCCGATTTTACCGACTGGAATTTTGATTAAATTCGCTATAACTAAAGAACGGTTTGACCGATTTTAATGTTATATATCTCAAATGAAAGCTTGCGTCTGGCTGAATGTAGAAGTTATAAACGTTAAATATACGCATAACAGTATACACGCATAACATTGTAGTACATGAAACTGTAAGTGCATTTTTCTCAAAACATCCTTTTTACATCTGGTTAACACGATTCCTAAAAAAACTACTCATTCGATTGACTCAAAATTTGAACTGCACTTTCAAAGAGCATCTTTCTATCGTATGACCTACAGAGAAACTGATACATATCATGTTTCTTGCAATAAACTTATCGGTTACCTTAATTTGATTAGGCACCATTTTACCAATAATGTTTTTTTTGCTTAGTTTTAGTTCATACGATAATCACTAATATATAAAAAATAACACCATTTGATTTTTAAATTTCAGATTATTTCAAGGATAGATATTGTGTCAACCAGCAACTTAGACGATCCACGAACCAACTTGGTTGAGGGACAATGTAAAGATTATTTTCTATAAACAATTTTTTTTAAATAAGTAAATACATCATGAAAACATATGCAAAAGATTAAATTAAAATACCACATAATTTGGTAGTAAAAAATTCCCAAAGAAATCATTTTATTTGATACAAAAAAAGAGTCTCCCCCCTTAAAAGCTTGAATTAGATTATACTAGTATTATTTGGAGTGGTTTACACTCACTTGCAAATTATTTCATGTTTTGACAATAATAATTAAAGTTGTATAATTTTTTCAAGCACAAATCCAATGAGTAGCGTTCAAACGGTTTTTATCTGGCAACATTACACCGTTCAAATCGCGAATTATTCCGATATGTTTTGGTAAATTAATAAAATTTAAAACGACTCACCGAATGGATGTTGTTTCTCTTGGATTGTACTTCGAAGCTCAGCTAGAAAGAAAAGATAAATTAATTTATTGTGACAAAAAAAATGAATTAATACGATACCTTTTAACATCCATAAAATAGCAATCCGATGATCTCAACATCACTAATATCACCTAACACTTAGCATAAACATAACACGTATTTATCACTTAATTCACGTAATAAGTTTTATTTTTCCAAACTACTTTATCACCCTTAAATGCCCGCACATCAACTAAAATGCGTTCTTAGCGAATCAACTTCCAAACATCCCCTCCTTAATTTATTGTGTGAAGAAGGAATACTGGAGGTGAATAAACAAAAAATGTAAAGACGACGGGGCGAAGCGGTTTTAAATCGTTTTTTCGTTTTAAAACTCAACCTTTCAACAAAAAAATTACTCGTTTTCTCGAAACATTTCAAATAAAACTTACGTCATTTTACTAAAATAAAACGCAATAATCGAAATTCAATGTTTAACACTTCCTGCAAAAGAATCAGGTGCCCAACAAATAATTAAAACGAAGCAGCCAAGACGTTGGATTATGCATCATCCCATTTTTCATGTCATGAAATATAAATTTTAAAAAAATCGTATCCCAAGAACAAATTGAGATATCATCATGAAATAAAGAACATTTTAAAGTAAATTTAATGAAGATTTAATGCGCTATATATATAATATAATTGGGCTAAAAAAATGGGGCTAACTTCGCATAGGTCTCTTTTATTGATATTACAAATCGCACATTTTACATTATACAAATCGCAAATATAGGTATCTACATCGTTGCTACGCATAGTGGTAAAAAAGTAATTCGTTTTTTTATTATTTTTCGAAATTAGTGCAGGTTAACCCAATTAAGTTGGTTCTACATTTAATTTATTAGAAGATGAATATCATATTTCGGCATATTAAAACTATTTTTTTTATAATAGCTTACCTCCTCAGATACAGGTATGAAATAAGTAACAGTTTTTATGATATGTACATTACGTATGTACTGTTTTTATCTATAAATTAAGATAAAATCATTCTTAGAAAGATGGTTCATATTGATTGCGAACAAATACAGCAACAAATAAACCTGGTGCATACCAAATTTAAATTATTGAAAAGTTATTAAAATTGTAAATGTAAAATGTAGGTTTCATTTTAATATTTTTATGTTAAGGCTTTGTATGTGTGAAATTTAGGTAATTTAAATCCGATATTAAATTCCGTACAAAATATTTTTCGATAAGTATTTCCTATAACTGCATTAATATGCTGACACCATGGAATTCAAAATCCTTTGTGAAGTGTAGCGGTAGTCATATTAAAGGTTAAATTTGCTCCTCNGCAAATTTCACATTTTACATTATACAAATCGCAAATATAGGTATCTACATCGTTGCTACGCATAGTGGTAAAAAAGTAATTCGTTTTTTTATT